CCCTGAACTTTTTATGGCCTGATTTCTACTCCGTTTATGCCTTGACTGAATTTTTCCCTTTTAAATGTTCACTTCAGCCAAAAAGCAGACCGCAACTGCACCGCGCCCAAGCCTTGGAGGTGATGACCGGTCGGATGCCAATGTAACTCGGCGGAAGCGCAAGGCCTCACACAACGATACCCAAGAGTCAGAGGAGTCTGCACCCCGGGGTAAAAAATCCCTCGGCACTGTTGGTAGTCTAAACGGTGAGAACACAAAATATAGCCGCTTACGTCAGCAGCATAACTACAAGACATCAATCTTCTCTTTTACTACAACCAATACGCCACTGAATTTTCGAATAACATAATTCATTTGACACAGTTGTGCGGAACTCGGTGACTCCCCTGGGATTTGAACCCCCGCGTCAGCCGGGAGAGGCTTTAGTACAGCCAACGTTCTAGCAACCTGAGGTACGAGGCCCCGTCGGGAGCCGCAAGTTTAATGATCGCAACCAATGCGCCACTGAACTTCGGAATAAAGGAGTGATCTATTTCGTAATATCGACCGGCTATTTTTTCATTTGTTTGGGTAGAGTCTTATATTTTTTCGCCAAATGCTAGTTGGTTGGTTAGTAGCCTTTGTTGGATCAGGAATCCCCGCCGGAGTCCAAACTGGGTGCAGTTGGGAGTCGGAGAAAAGCCGCGACCTCAGCCGGCTTGAGCCAAAGGCCGTGGCTTCAATGGGATTCGAACTCACAAAGTAGAAAATTATTCAAATCTGCCAAACCTTCTTGAGCCCAGCAGTCATTCTGGTGGATTCTAGATGATGGCTTAGGAAATTCTGTCTGGGCAGTATCCCTTATGGTGGATTCCATGCGTTGCAGTAGGCCGGGCGGGTAAATCAACCCAATTGTGATTAAACTTAAAGCTTCGTATCCTCGTAGCTCAACGGTAGAGTGTTGGCTGTGCAAAGACCTTCACTGCTGAGGTGGATTCGAATCCTACCAAGGACACAAATATCTCACAATTGGGCCAATTGAATTCTCACTTATGTGAAATGTGAGCCACTTTAACAGAAGTCCGGCATGTAACGTAGGGGGACCAGGTCGTGTGGGGCACGGGATGTTTAGATTCGTCGGCCACCGAGTCCGCGTCCATCACATTTCCTTGTCAGCAGAGCAAGGCGATTGGGGAGAGAGGGATGCTGCGAAAACTAAGAATATTTGACGCGCCAGTCACTGATGCTGCCTCGTCCTTGTGGAACAACGGTTGACTGGCCCTTGTTGGATCCGGAGCCCCGCCGGGTGGGCCTTAGT